CATTCTACCCAGGACGGAAAGTAGTTTAATCACCACATATCATTTGGTTTAGTCGCAGATCAGACCCCTGTTTTCGAATCTGAAGCTTTAACTTATTCCTAGTTTACTATGAGAGCTTTTGACCAATTTAGCCTCCCACATGGTTCCCCTTCAGAGGAAAAAAAAAAGTAGTAGCAGGGACTCAGGAATATCTTGTCAGTAAATTTTTCACTGCAAATTAATAAACTGACATGCTGGTTGTTGTACTTCAAGTTCTCGTGAGGTCATCAGCAGACTCTGCTTCTCTAAGGCTGCATGGCAATAGGACATCAATAAAGTAGAATTCAGTACCCATGAAGCTCTGGGTAAACTATAGAAAAAATAAGTATCCCAATTCTACAGCTGAAAACCAAAATGACTGCATTTAGATGACCACTCCTAGGTTAGTGAAAGACCTAGAGAAGAAGTCCAGCCAGCAGGATTCAGGACTGGACAGTGCAACCCTGCCAACAAGAAACACCATTTATACAGTCTCCCCTAGAGCCCTACACTCTCCATAAACTTTCAGCAGTGCCACTTGAGTCCCTGCAACAGCCACACGAACACAGGGATGACAGGCAGCAGTGCGCCATCAGCTCCTGAGTAACCAGGGGCTAACAGTTACTTCAAGATGACTATAGGCTAACTCCTTTATCTCACTGTACTTTCAGAACAACGCTATGAAGTAAGCACTATAATTCGCTGAGGCACTGAAGTAAAAATACTAGTAAGTGGTAAAATGGTGCTCACACCAAGTCTATCTCACTGAGGACTTGTCTGTACCCTTCATAATGCTATTCACTGACTCAACAATATCCACAGCATATTAAGCGTAGGAGAACTTAACCCCCTTAAGTCTCACTCTCCGTGTGGCCAAACTTGGCCAAACAAGCAAACATTATCTTCCATGGCCTTCAAGGTAGGACTGCTTTCTTGTGCTGGGTGAGGGAGATAGCCATGTATACTGGGGTCAATATTATTAATTTTACTGAATTTGGAATTTCCATATGCAGGGCTTTCCACAGGTCAGGCATGATTCATTAAAGCTGATCAGCAGCAGCTGCCATCCCTATAATACGTTCCTTCAAAATTAAGTTAATAATTGCATTCCTAAAAATCCATAGACTGCTTTCCTTAAAACCAAGGGGGGGGGGGACTGGCACAGTAGCATAGCAGTTAAGGTTCTCGCCTTGAATGCGCTGGGATCCCATATGGGCGCCGGTTCTAATCCCAGCTGCTCCACTTCCCATCCAGCTCCCTGCTTGTGGCCTGGGAAAGCAGTCGAGGACAGCCCAGAGCTTTGGGACCCTACACCCATGTGGGAGACCCAGAAAGAAGCTCCTGGCTCCTGGCTTCAGATTGGCGCAGCACCGGCCATTGCAGTCACTTGGGGAGTAAATCATCAGACGGAAGATCTTCCTCTCTGTCTCTCCTCCTCTCTGTACATCTGTCTTTCCAATAAAAATCAATAAATCTTAAAAAAAAAAAAAACAAGGGGAAAGAACTCTGAAGCTGGTTCTGTAAAATTGCAAAGTATGGGAAAAAAATCAAAAACAAGTTTAGACAGACTGAATTAGACAAGAAAAAAGACTAAAAGGAAACACACTTAATTGTACCATTTAGAAGCCAAGCTTGTATTTTATTTGAATAGGGGAGTTGAACACTTCCATATGAATATCTGTAAGTCACAATAAACTTTCATACACTAAAATGAAAAAAAATCAAGAAATGTGTACTCAGAGTCTGAAATATTCATAAATTACAAAAGGTTACAAAAACTTGGAAAAAAAATCTAAGAATAAAGTATACCCAAGAGTTTTGTTTTGACATTATTTGGTAATGCTTTGTTCAGCTTATCCTAGTTTTAGGGCTCATCAAGAAAGTTTAAAAAAAGGTCAATCAATGGCAAATATATATATACATATTTCTTTAGATATGCATATATCTACAGAAAGATTAAGGCAGATTTTATTGAAACATAAAAGAAGACATGCCAAGCTTTCTGAAGTATTCGAAATATAAGACGATAATCTAGGTAAAAAGCAAGATGATGCTCTGACAAGCTGTCTGTTTTTCTTTACTGAAATGGTCCTACATTATCTGCTTTGGATGGCCAACACAAGAATGCTCTACAATATGCCATGGTTACCATCCACGCAGAGAGAAACAGAGTACATACAACACAGCAACAGATGCTCACCAGGGGTAACAGTGGCTCCCGGGCACTTAGTGCCAGAAAACTTTCCTAGGTCTTTATATATAATGTCTCATTTAATCTTCACAGCAATTCTATGAAACATGAATAGTGTTATTACTCCTTTTACGCAAGAAAAAAAATGACGCCCTCCAGGTCATGATTTGTAAATTCATACTAGATCTCTTAATATGCTTAAGTCCTTGTTTTTCATCAATATCCTTTCAAGAAAGAAGCCATTTTCACACCTTCATGGCAAAGAAATAAAACTGGTCATTAGAAATGTCTTGGCTGAAATTTTTAATGCTTAAAAATAGCCCCAATTAAGCTTCAGCAGGTAAGTATGGAACAAGCATCAAATTCAGTCACTGAAGGTTAGGCATGTGATCCCAGCTCAGCCGACGTCTTTAACCCTCTGTTTCCAGGAAATTCGTAAAGCAAGGCTATTTTCTTCTGTTCTCCCCCTACCCCGAAGCATTCCATGGAATCAGTTACCCATCCTGAGAAAGTAAAGCCAATATCCAAGGATGAACCTGTGAGCTAAATGTTTCAGTCTCTTTTCTCACAACTATCTTTTTAGCTATCAGAACTTCTCAAAGAAGTTATGTGGTAATGAGCAAATAACTGCACCATTTGTTTTTACAGCCACATAGTAGTCAATGAGTAGTATTCAAAAATACCAGGCACCCCAGGTATAAAAGATACAGGTACAAAAAGATCTGGTGGGTCCAACTGCAGTATCCAACTAGGATTTACCAACTACAGGCATTAAAATTCAAATGGTGATTTAACAGGGACTATGAAAGTTGAGGTTAGTAAGACAAATCAAAATTTTAACACAGTCTTGATAGGTAATTTTGAAATTAGGAAGAGAAAAGCATCAGGTAAAAGCAATCGTGGGAGCTAAGGATCTGAGGCTGGATTGAATAATGAACAGAACAGGTGATCACCACAGAGCTCAACGGAACTCTCGGTGGGCCTCAGAGTGAGCCATGGAAATGAAGACAGGAACTACATTTTAGAAAACTTAAGCTTGGCATGGGAGTCGGACTTCCAGTAGGAACACGGAGTGATGATCTGGGTACATGGTAAACTTTGGAACCTTTGCAGTTTGGATTTCTTGTCTACTCGGCCTCTAGCACAGGAAACACCAAATACCATATATAGGCAGATGTTCTAAAGTCACAGACATCGGCTATCCCAGCTCAGAGGCAAGAAAGTGTCAAAGAAGAACAGGGTTCCTTGAGGGGCATGGACATACATTTCTGAACACAGAACTGGGAACATAGGGCCCAAAACTGCTTCACTAGCTGCCCCAGTGTTCCACAGATCAAGTACAGAGGCTTAATCTGCAATCTCCAGACCTCCATCACATCACTCCTGCCCTCTACCAGCTAAGAGAATGATGGTGAAGGTCGGGGGACACTCTACATCTCCCCGCCAAGCCTAGCAAATAGACCATTAGAAGTTCTGTTGCCCAGCTGCCAGCAACACCCAGAGACAGGCCACACCAGCAAGACACTTAACTGAAAACCCCAGACTCTTCCTATGGGAGTCATCAAGAAGCACAGTCGCCTGGGGCCTCCTCACACAAAATAGGCTGGCACCCAACAATCACGACAGTTCTAATGCGATCTAGAGATATGCAATGACATCATCATGCCCCAGGAGATGCAGAAATCAAGACAACAACCTGGACAAAGGAAATGCTCATGGTGGCAGTCTGCAGAATGTTTACTTGTGCCTGTTGTAACTTAGCCAGCAGGACACTATCTGTATCAAATCCACAAGTCACAACTACAGCCTGCCTCTCAGCAGTGCAGTGCCTCGGCCGGGTCCCTCCCTGCCTCTTCTCTCTTGGGTTGAAAATGTCCTTGCTCTCTACCAGCACAGACCCACAGCATGCAGCAGCTGCCACTCCACACAGAGTTAGTCACCAAACAGGGAAATGACCTGCCCCATACTATGCTGAGCACCTCCACAGCGTTAGGATCAGATCCTCAGATCATCTTTCAAAGATTCATATATGCATGTGACTGCCAGGAAATGAGTGCCCACCAGACACAGGTATTGAAATCCCATCTGTTGATTCCTATTTCACGGCAGATCCCGCATGGAAGGAGGGCAAGTTCCTCTAAAATGCAGCTCGTGCAGCATCACTCATAAACTTCTCAACACAATCCACACTCCATTCACAGCGAGTGTCATGTGACTGGATTACTCCCCATCTTCCCTGAACATGTGTGTACACAGAGGCGCGTGCGCAAGGACGCCTGCTTGTCCGCTCGCCTGCTCGCTTGCTTGCTTGCTCTCAGGAAAACCATTGGTGTGGCATGCTTGCTGAAGATCTGAGCACTTCAGCATTAAAACGCAAGTGTTTCATGCCAGGGCAATCCTGCTATGACATCCAAAACCCCACCACCAAAGAATCACCATCAACGACCAAGCCAGAAAAGGGAAACACCTTCTTGAAACAGCCTGAGAAACACAATTCCAGTGTTGAAACAATTCCCAAACACCAGCCAGGAAGTCTCTTCTTTCAGAGCCCTCCGCTACTCAGCAAACCCAGATGTGCCTTTGGGGAGGGTAGAGTTGTGAAGATTCCAGCCCTGAAAGGGTGGGTTTGGAGGGGGAGTTTCACATCTCTGACTCTGCCGCCCTTTGGGGTTCATTCGTGGGCCAGCTCTTCCAACCTTACTCAGCCAATACAAACACAAAAGCTGGTGGCTACACTGCAAGTATACACTTATTTACTCACACACACACTCACACACTCACACATACATACCTTTCGCCCTCCATTGTGCGAGACCCGGCTGGCGTGGCAGCCATGGGATTGTGCCTGTACAGGGGATTGCAGCTCTGTTCCTGGTTTTCCCGGCAGACCAACGGGAAATCTGATCAGCAACAGTGATTCAGCATGGCTGCAAATGAAGCCTCCTCCCTCGCGATTCCCGTTCCTCTGACTTACTCGCGGCAGCTTCCACTGCAGAAGCGGCAGCAGAAAATGTCTTACCCAGAGCTCCCTGCAGCCCGTTCAGCTGCTAAAAGCAGCAACCCACTTGCTCCCCCTCCCCCGCAGGCTTGCTTCTCCCCGGTCTCCTAGGAACAACGGTGGCTCCAGCGACCCAAGTGCGGCGCCACCTTCCCAGCTGCCTCCGCATCAGCCCTGGCATCCCCAGCCCCAGCTCACAGCCGCCTCAGGGGCTCCACACTTCTCTGCCTACACTGCAAAAGCTCTGGCAGTTCCTCTGCAGCTGGAGAAATGCCACCCCCTCCCCCTCCTCTACTCCAGAGGCTGTCTGCCTGGCCAGATTGCTGGAATGAGCAGGCCCCTCTGTGGCCTGCAGTGGAGTTTATCCACCTGGGGAAATTCACTTAGGGATGGCAGCTTGTCTTCCAATTATTCCTTCCAAAATCCACAGTAGCTTTGAGCATCTGACAGAAGGAGGCAAGTTAGCAGGAGATGGCTGATAGTACAAAGAAGAATGTACAGAATTTAAAAAAGAAATTAGAAAAAGAGCTATTAGAAACAGGTGAAGCTGAAACAAACCCTACTTTACACAGGAAGCCAGTCTATTACAGCAAAGCCATCACAATGAATAATGCACACACTGATTCCCCCAGGACACAGCGAAAAATTCCCAAGTTTAGCACAGCCTAAACAGCCTCCTCTCCTGAAGTCTGTCATTGAAATGTGACTTACGCTGTGCCTCCAACCAGGAAGTCTCCCAATGAATCCTTCTCCTACTGTGATTTCTTATTCCCTATAATATCAAATCATGGTGCTTCAATTTAGCCTTATTCTTTTTCTCCCTGGAAGGCCTTCTCTGATCCCAGTCCTTGTCTTTCTAGAGGATCAAATTCCATGTCTTCATAAAACCACTCACGATCATCTCTATAATAGCTGCAGAATGTATTGTTCTTGTTCATGTCATACCTGATACGTGGCTTGGGGTAATTTGCTATCTAAGTATCCTCTCATATGAAAATATAATCTTGGGGAAGGCAGGGGGCCAGTCTGTGTCTTCTATCATAACCAAGAGTTTCAAATGTATGGAGGCAATCAGCTACAAAAACTAGTTTGGAGGGGGCATTGTGGCACAGCAGGTAGGAACTCCAGCTACAATACCTGTACCCCTTATCAAAGAGTTGGTTGGAGATTCAGCTACCCCACTGCCTATCCAGCCCATCACTAATGCACATGGGAGCTCCTGTTTCTGGGTTTTACCCTGGTGCAGCCCTGGCTCAGTTCTGACTTTGTGGGCATTTGAAGAGGGAACCAACAGATGGAAAGTATCTTTCTCTCTGTGTCATTCTGCCTTTCAAGTAAACGATTCTTAAATTAGGAAATTAACTTATTCACGAGCTTCCCTTGTGCCTCAGCAAAGTCAGTCCTGACATCTGTATTCTGGCAGCCCTCGGTGTTACAGCTAGGTTTTCCAGGATCTGCCCAGCACTCACTGCCTGAGTGGCCTTCAACTAGCTAATATTTTATTATTCTGGACTTTGTGCTCAGTCCTTTGTTCAGAAGATGGGGTAGACCATAAAAATCTCTAGAGTTTCTTTCAGCTGTAAAATCACATGATTCCACCAATGTTCTAAAGTTCCCATTTTTCTTCTGAGTCACCTGAGAAAGGTAGCTTCAAGGCAGATCATTGACATGTTATCTCACAGTATAAAAGATGCTCAGTAACTCTATTGCTGTTCTAGTTTCAGTCATAAAATTTCTTCACTACCATAAACCCTGCAAACAGTCTGGGTGAAGGAGGAACACTGAGGTGACAGAAAGTACAAGTAACTTCCACTTAAGCTCCTGCACAGGATGAAGTACTATCCTCCAAGCCTGCCTCCCTTAACAATTATGCTTCCTTTTGGAAGAAGCCATTACCCGACTTCCCTCTTTCTCAAGACAGAAGATGCCTGGACAATTTGGTTTGGCTTTTTATCTCCACTTCTTCCTCTCACAACAATACCCCTCTATCTCTCTCGCTGTCTCTTCCTTCTCTAATCTGCCTTGTGGCTCTGCACCACATGCTTCCTGCTGACAATCCCAACAACATCTCAAATAAGGAAACTAAATCCCAGAATCCATGCTGGGGTGATTCATCCAAAGGATGTGAGAATGAAGTGATGACTCTTTTGTATACATCCTCATTCACATCTTTACTACACAGGAAAAGGGGGATGTGCCACATGTAACCAGAAAGGAAAAAAAATAAGGAAATACGTCAGAGTTAAACCTACTCATTTTTCAAAACACAACTACCGATATATAAAGAGGTGTAAAAATCCCATGGATTCTCCTTGCACCCTGCTTTTGCTATACTATAACCAATGCCACTGCAGTCTACCTACAGAAACTGTACTGCTAACACCTGCACGCTTCATTCACCACCTGCTGTCTAGGAGAGACAGGTAGAATCAAGAGCACTCAAAGATGGTCATCTAGACAACAAAGATCATCTGGCAAAACCAGGAGCAGAGCTGAGCCAAGGATTCAAATCCCCAGATCCCTGCAGCAAAATCTCTACCCCGGTCTTATCCTGGTTCAGGACTACATGCTAACATTTTCTACTGTATTATACAACTGTTCTCTGTGCCATATCTGTACAACTTGACATAGACTCTAGTCAAAGAAACTAAAGTGGTGTCTGCCTGGTCCCATTCCCAACTGCCCAACAACAGCATCTTACTTCCATTCCTAACTCCGCCCGGCCCGTTGTTCATATTCCCGCTTCCTCCACAAGCTTACCAAGCATACTCAGTGGGACTCTCACTTCAGGGCAATTTATCCAGCCACTTGTGCCAACTTCATTTATAATCTTTTACCTCTTGCATAATTTAGGAAGAGGTTATATCAGGAGAAAAAAATGTGTTTCTTCAAGCTGAGTGCTGTCTCAAAAATTATTTTTCCATATTCCATCTCTGAACAGGGAGCCAGGATAGCATGGCTTATCTTGCAAGAGCAAAGCAATTGTTTGACCATGTAAGTCCCCTTTTTCTTCTTTTCTGGCCTCTACTATCCAGGACTTTAGTTCCTCACATTTGCAGGTATCCTAACACAGTAAAAATGTCCCAAACCCAGCTTATGTCAGAACCATTTGCCAAGTTGGTTAAAATCAAAGGGGTCAGCAACAAAGAAGACAAATGAACATTTATTGGCACTTGAATATGTTCCATGTATTGGCTGGTGATACCTTTAAGACTAAATTACTACTGCATTTCATCAAACTATATACGTAAAGTGGGCAAATTTTATGTAATTATATCTCAATAAATGTAGAAAAGTAATAAAACATTAATGAGACCCCACCTCACAACTACAATATCAAGGTGTAATGAATTTGATTTTTTAAAACATTTATTTGAAAGACAAAGTCAGAGAGAGAGGAATGGAGAAAAATAAAGCTTCTGAAATTTTTAGAATATACTTATTTATTTAAAAATAAGAGATGACAGTTCCGGCTACTGCAACCATTTGCGGAATGAGCAGCGGAAATAAGATCTTTCTGTGTCTCCTTGTCTCCATAAATATGATCTGCTTTTCCAATTCTTTTTAATTTTAACTAAAAAAAATAAGAGGAGAGAAAGTGATCTTCCAATCACTGGTTCACTCAACAAATGGCCTCAGTGGCTGAGGCTGGGCCAGGCTGAAGCCCAGAGCCTGAAACTCCATCGGGGTCTCACACTTGGGTGGCAGGGGTCCAAGTACTTCAGCCGTTTTCTGATATTTTCATAGGCACATTAGCAGGGAGCTGGATCTGGGACCCATATGGAACAAGAACTAGTACCCATATATGGGAAGCTATTGTTGCAGGCTTCACTACAATGCCAGCATAAGAGATGGAATTTTAGTAAACCTCACAGGTGACTCACCTCACAGCCAGATGCAACAATGATTTAGAACAAGTAAAAGAGCCCAAGACCACTTGAATACATAGCACAGAATTCAACTTCACTTGCCAAAAACGTAATCATAGCCAAGTTCCTTTACAGTGCTCAACTTTCCCATCTGTACAGTGGGGAGAGTAACAGTGCCAACCTTCCAGGGTTGTTAGGTTTGAAAGTGAAAACACTGACAGCCCCTAGGAGAAACTAGCCTGTCACAAGTACCCAGCAGCCACTTATAGCTATCACTTTCATTCTATCAAGATTACCCATCTACAACTCTGTGAACCCTTAGTCCTAGGATCCTGGAGCTATTTTCACATTTCCACTGATTGTTACAGCTAATAGCTCAGCAGGAATTAGACAAGACTGGAGCTGAACTAAGGCCCACACACCTGTGTCATCAAAAGTTCCCCCCAAGCTATCAGATGTTCTCTGTGACTACCTAGAGTGACCCCAGAAAGCCAGGCAAAAACTGAAAAGCAACTCAAAGCCCAACACATCAAAAGAAAAACAGAACAGTACCTTATTCTGAACTGGGCTTCTCTCAGAAGAATTCAAGGCAGAGTAGACTGGAGACTAAAATTGCCAATGGCAAATGTGTTCTACTTTTAAGACTATTAGGCACTTTTAGTCCATCATCTCCTTTCACTCAAGATAGTGCCCCCTGAATAGCGATAACAGCTTCCAATCACTGAATATGTACTCTAGGCCAGACCCTGTCAGACTCCACGCTTCACTTGGACAGCTCCCTCCCAATCTTCAGAACCCTGTAAGAAGGGACCATCGTTCACATTTTAAATGTGAGGGAACTAAAGTTCTGGAAATTAAATGACTGGGTCAAGGTACCACCACTACTAAAAAGCAAAGCTGGAATTTGAGCTCATGGGTGCCTGACCTCATAGCCCAGTATTAGCCTCTGTGCCAAACAAGCATAACCCCTATCCTCAGGGTCTTAATTTTAAAGGGAAGGCATTTGAGACAGAGAGAAAACAACTGGCTTTGGCCAAGTAGAGGACCTAGCTGGGTGTGGATCCATCGACCTTAATGCCTGGACTAGGGCCCTTTCCATCCAATGTCAGGATGAGGAACCACAGCATTTGAAATCCCTAAAGGAACCACACACGTATAAGATGCAGCTGAGGCTTCCATAAACCTACTATAATCAAGCCCTACCATCTGGATTCTTCGGATCATCTAGTTTACTAGCCAGGCCTAGCCAAAGACTGCTCTTTGGTGCCAGAGGAGCACCACTGAGCAACTGCAGGGGAAACAGGATAGCAGCAGGCCGGATGCTTCACACAAGCCAGCACCTTGCAACCTTGCAAACAGCTGTCTCGGGTG